GTATCACCCATATGAAAAACATTTACAATTGTGTTAGGGTGTAAATCACATTCCCAAAATTCTCCAACCTAACAATGTCATGTCCTGATTTAATTAGTTTCCTAAAATGAGCGTAATTAATTGTTAAGGTTTCCTTTTCTGCAGTTAGGATGTATATGTATAGTGGCATTATTCAATATTATTTTTTGAAAGAAAAAGTTAAAGTATAAATTAGTATAGCACCAAAGGGGGTACCGCCCATATACATAAGAATTTACAATGATGTAAGGGTACCAATGACATACTCAAAATCTTCATTCCTAATGATGTCATGTTCCAAGATAAAAGACTCAAAATATTTAAACCACCTACCTCTAAGTTTAAATCTATCTACCTATAATCCCTCCAAAGCTCTTAAATTCATTTCTTTTCAAATGATCCAAAAAATAGCCAATGGGATAATCTTTACAATATTTTTAGTTGAATGAATTCCTCTCCAAGCCCGTACTTCAGCAAGCACCGACCCCGTAGAGACCCAATGAATACCAAGTAAGCTATAAATTATGCACCACAACTCATACACCACAGGGCATCTGAGAAGTAAGTGACAGCAAGTTTCCTCTGCTTTTCTGCATATGAAGCAGCCATTAGCCAGAACCAGTCCCCTCTTTTGTAGCTTGTCCAGGGTCAAAATGTTTTCTCTACAGGCTTCCCAGCCAAAAAATGCAACTCCCGGTGGTATCCTGACCTTCCAAATCTGAATATGAGGGAATGAATGCCCACTGTTGTAATCCTTCCCAATTATCCAATTGTAGTATGATGAAACAGTAAACTCTCCCTGCTTATTCAGAATCCAGATAACATTGTCCGGTTTATCAATGATTTGACAATTGGAAATCAACTCCAATTGTCACCAACTTCCCAATCATTCAAATTTCGTGTGACATTAACCGACCAAGAGTATCTGCCATTCTCCAATGTATAAGCTTCCTCAACCCGCTGATTTTTCACCTGTGCAATTGCATACAGACTAGGAAATCTGTTTTTTAGAGATTCCCCTTCCAGCCACTTATCATGCCAAAATCTGATGACATTGCCTCTACTTAACTGCCATTTGAAGCATTCTTTGAAACAAGGCCACCCCTTCTTTATGTTCTTTCACAGCCCAAACCATGGCCCTTTTTATCCAGTCGCCCAACATCTTCAAGTGCGGCCCCACACCATCTTGTTTCAACAACCTTTCTCCATAGCTTTTCATCTTCCTTCACGTACCTCCATAACCACTTTCCTTTTAAAGCTTTATTCATTTCAACAAGAGAACAGATTCCTAACTGACCCTCCACTATCGGTTTCTTAATTTCTGACCATCTTACCAAGTGATATTTTTTCGTTTTTTCACCATCACCCCAAAGGAGTCGACATTGAATATTTTCAAACTTTTAGCAATACTACATGGAATGGTTAATGTGGTAAGATAATAGATGGGAAGATTAGCAAATGTGCTCTTTATGAGAGTATACCTACCGCATTTTGATAGAAAATGTCTCTTCCATCCTGCAAGTCTAGATTCAAACATCTCCACCACAGGTTCTCAAGTTGTTTTATCTTTAAATTTCGTACCTAGTGGTACGCCAAGATATTTAATGGGTAAATTTGCTGATCTGCATTCCAGTATCCTAGCAAAACTGCCATCATCACCATTGTTTCCCACCCTAACCAATTCATATTTTTAGAGATTAATATTGAGACCCAACACACCTTGAAAGCACAAAAGAAGATTCTTGAGATACAGCAAGCCTTTTCTTTTCAGGTTGGCAAAACAGCAGTGTATCATCTGCAAAAAACAAGTGCGAAAATCTCCATTTTATTGTCTCCTTTGCCGACTGTCACCCCTCTTATCAATCCAAGTTCTATTGCG